CTGTAGTTTCGAATAAATTTTCTATTGTAAATTGACTTAAAGAGATCTCCAGACGCCTTTTTGAATTAATAGAGAAAAAAGTAGTTATACTCTCCCGCATATAGTTTCGTAAAACAATAAATAAACAAAATTTATTTGAAAAAATCATAATAATAAATGGAAAATCAACCATAAGATATACCCCTCTAATTAATTAAGACATATAAACGTCAAAGTAAATATAAAAATGACTATAGTGAAATCTTTTTTTTGCGCCATATTATGCACCGTAAGAACCTACATTAAATTCGTGCAATAATTAAATTATATTATGAGCGTAAAATTAATTCCGTCTCTTTACTAGCCGTATTTATTTCGCCACGTTTGTATTTTTGTTATCGTTTTCAACAACGAAAGAACGCAGTTTTAATGGACTGTCCGTTGACGGATACTCTCCGTACTACAAATCAGTTTTCGTGCGTCATCGTGTGTGCCGGAAATCATAACGTAATCAATTGTCTCTGGCCAAGTCAGAACTGAATACACTACTTCTTAAAAACGCTACCGATCTATACAACATCCGGCAAAGATACACAGAAAACTTCGCGAAATGTTTATTATTGTTACAGATAACTGGGAACGAAACCGTGCGCGAATCCAATCGAACTAAATCATACGTTCGGCGTGATAACGCAATCCAGGAAAGGAGGAAGTTGATCAGTTAAGCATCCGCGTTATATCAAAAGAGAAAACAATTGCACGAAGTGTCACTATGGATTTTATTAAATTAAATTCCAGGATACGAAACTTATTATAAAATCGAAACATACAGGAGAGACATTGGTTAATGCTGTAACAAAAGTGAAAGCAGGAAAGCCTGTTTCTGCTATCGGTAAAAATATAACATTCTCAGAACAATCTTATCGAATAAGAAGGACGGTACTTATTCAGCGACGTTATCACAAAGAAATTTCTTGGTACGTTGCACTATGGATTGCATTGTCCCAAAAGAATACGTTAAGCGTGTGTTTAATTTAACATGTTAACATCTTAACGAATCGTAGAAAGACACTTTTTAAAATTATAATATAAAATTAAAAATAACGTAATTAACGGTTAACAATTGTTTCCACAGTTACGTGCATTTAGTCAACATTGATACGTGGTAGAAACAATGTTAATCGACTCTGGAAAGAGCAAAAAATTATTTTCAAATATTTTACATTATCCTCTATGATAAAGAAACGGACTAGAAAAATGAAAATGGCGAAAGAACACGGTAGCTCGATTTGACGAGAGTGTTGCAAATTGAAGTTGAACTTCGCGCCATTGACACGAGCACCGAGTGGATGAGCTTTTCGCTTCAAAAGAAGCCAGAATCTCAAAGAAAAAGCATGCTAATGATGTAACGGACGAGCCAACAGATTTGAAAATAGTATTTCCCTGGGTGGCTTTTTTAATCCGTGCAAGGACAATAATTTATATCTAAAGGCAACTTGTATTTTATGCACGAGGTAAAATAAACTTAGCCAAGAAAGTACCCAAGTACCTTCCTGGTAGTATTGATTTCGACGGAGAGACTGGTTGAAGAATATGTCAGTATGCAACATTCAGAATGGGTATGCGTATTTACGACCGTAAATAGGTTTCGGTCCTAACTCTGTACCATCTTCAGCGATGACCCAAATAACTGTAAAGAAATAAGTTTCTGGTTTAAGAATTCGAAAACTAAAGAGTAGGGGCTCGTTTGCATTATACTTGCTTCTCGTTTGTTCCAAGCGACAGTACGCAATTGTTCTCGTATTAAACGCGCCATCCTTTAGATACGTTACGATATCTATTTAGGATTAATGATATCTCAGGTAAACACGCGATTAATTACTTGTATGTAGACCAAGACGTTTCCGGATTAACCAACGATTCATTCTGCACCGTATCGTGCGAGCTTATAGCGACCTAAGTGGCTGAACATTCTGATCAGCTTGTTTCTCGTCATTCTTAACTAACAAAAAGTAAACATACTGAATTTAAATATGTTTTAACAATGAAAATGAATTATTTGTGAAAATATATATGTACATGTATAGTGAAAAGAAACACGAGATCGAAGTCTTGCAGTTATAAATGCACGGTTAATTTTCAGTTCCCAGAAAGGCACAAAGCGAGCTACTTTGGCTTTGTATCACACGTAGAAAGGAAACGTAGAAAAGAACAACGAACGAAGGATAAATAAGAATAACACAACGTAAAATTTATTTCATTTTTTATTCTTTGTTAATGGAACATTTACTAATATATTCGTGAGATTTTTCTGATTAAAATAAGACCAAACACGATATAATTTGGATCGTACTTGCGTATTTAATCGTATTTGACACGATTTTATGTTTTATTAGAAGTAGGTTGAAAACAAATTATATCGTGTTTGGTCTTATTTTAATCGGAAAACTCTCGCAAATAAATTGGTAAAAGTTTCACCTTTCGGGCCCAGATCAGGTTACACTACTCGACGTTAAGGTTCGTGTGTGTCAAGGGGAGCCCCCTCTCAGTAGCGGGGATGACTACCTTTCACTTATCCAATCGAACACGACTCGCAGTTAGCGAAGCATCGCTGTATATACAAGATTGTATTGACAGCGAAATTATTCATTCCAGAGAATAATAGAGTAATAAAATAATTGATCTATATTTTATTATCTTTAAATATTAATTCATTTAATTCATCGTTTTCTCGAGTGATTTATAATTTCTGTTATTGATCTGCTCATTAAATTTGTACGATCCTGTGCGTATAAGACTGCATATATGTTACATGTTTACCTAATAAACAACCTTGTAACACAAGGGATAAAGCAGTCTTCCTCCGCTGTATCGCCTTCCCATTGAAGAAAAAGGTCAAGGTAGTAAGTATAAATAATTATAAAAATAATTACACGCTGCCTTATTTAACGGAACACGTGCAGCAGGCGTTAGGTAAAGGGTAGCACAGCTTATAGCAATGAAATTAAATTATTTATGTTACCACGGTACCCGACGAAGACCTTGAAACTTCAATTTCACATTAATTGAAATGTTCAGTAATTTATATTTAGTCCCACGCGTTTCGAAAAATAAAAATAATCTTTCTTCTTTATTACTTTTTTAATGTCTTGTTCGGGTAATTAGTTTTCAATCGTTGTTCATTGCAATCTTATGTGTATAGAAAAGGATTCCAAATAACACATTTTCATAACAAAATTCTTTGCATATTACGTACAGTTTTAATTTATTGAAAAATTTGGGAAGAACGTATCCTGATATTAATAAGTGTAAACTTTTATGGTCAACGTCGTATTTGCGCGCAGATCTTTCTCCAGTTTATTCTGATTTCTCGTCGAGAAAAAGATACATACGATAGGTGATACATTCATCGGTAAAATGTGCAGCGCGTTTCATATAATTTTTCGATTCTATTGTGCGATTACGAATATGTCCCGAGGTCGCGGAATCGTTTCAAAAGATGCATATTAAGGACGAATTGAATAGATACGTAAGTACGTAGCATTCGTGTGAAACCACTTCGCTTTCCTCAAACACAGACCTCACCTAATATTATCCGTTCTTAATTAGAGAGTTAGATATATCTATTCGCCTCGCAATTCTTCAGTTAATAAGAACAAATAGGACCCCTCCTCCTTTTCCGACAGGGCGTGATCTCTGACATTTTCTTTGTGTGCTTTATCTTCGCCGGACGAGATACGAAAATCAACCTCAGATTTTAGAATCCCTATTATTCGACTCGAATTTCGCCAAGATTTTCGGAAATTCAAATAATTTCTAAGTTTCACTGTTACAATTATTCAAATGGTTAAGAAAATAATTATATACCATCTTGTGTTACTATAGCATTATGATATTACTGATAGAATTGAAAATAATAATTAATCTAATACAATGTGAATCATTTTAAATTCAAACAGTAAGTTGATAAATTATATGTTGTGTATTTTTAAATATTCTAACATTATTAAAATTACAGTATTCGTTGCATTGAAGCCATCACCATCTGGTTTCGAAGAATGTTAAGAAACAAGAAGAATAACAAGATAACGAGTCATATTGTAATGTAGCAAACTTTTTAAAGCATATTAATCTACTAGATTGTATTTATATAAATGTAAATAGTAACTGAAGTTGTAAATGACGTTCCAAGTTGAAGCAACCTTAATAAAAATCAAATAAAAAAAAGAAAATTGTATTAGAAAAATATCTCTGGTATCTGGCGCCAAAAAATATATATTTTAAGGATTGCAACTCATGTGCCCCCTCACTTAAAATGAGGCACACAAAAAAATACGAAAAGTTTCAGTGTAAGTGCCTCAAAGCTAGAGAAAATGAAAAATAACACTCAAAGACACCTTATATGGGACTGGCATAATCAATTAATCCGCGTAACTATTTTTCATTAACTATTTAAAAGCAAAATGCCCTGTATGGACGAAAACTTGAAAATGGAGAAGATTTGTTACCGATCAGTTGCAGATTATAATTTTAAGCACGCTCAATTCTGCAAGGAAAACTATAGAAATGATACAAAAAGATTCTTTTCCATTTTACTGACAAATATCTTGGGATCCTGCTGATGTAGAATAATGGCAGTTGCTCGAACGAGGCGAGTCGAGCTGCCTTTTCGCGCCTAATCTGTCGCTTGATCGTCGTCCCGTTGACGTCATTGGTCGGCCATATTGGTAATCACCACGAGCGTCCGCGAATGCTCAGACTTTTCAACAATGTACCGTCAAACAGACCGTGTGTACGTGAGAAACTATTACGCGCGAGTCGAAATCATTGACCTGTCCCGACTGAACACGTTTTTCAACCTGCCAGCTTATTATTCTTATTACGTATCAACGGCTCTGTACTACTGGAGCCTTATCCGGCGAGGAGGCCAAGAATTAGACTTGAACTGGTTCTTCACCGAGCCCTCAAACAAACCGCAGAATTAAGGGGTAAAACCACTCTAGGATTTTCAAAAAATCGATTTTTTTTTTTTTGGCTTAAACGATACTTTAGGGGCATAGAAACAGTATGCCATTTGATTTATAGTGGAAAACAAATTTCAAAAGGTTCAATTATCGATTTTGCCGCAGCGTCTCAGAGCGCGCGTTGAGCACTCACAGGGCGCGCTGTGATTCATCGCTTTTGTACTTCTTTTACCTTTTGAAATAATAAGTTTAAAGCCATCTTAGATTCACAGGCCTATGGAAAGTTTACAATTAATAAGAAAGAATGCATTGATCATGTGCAAAAGCGAATGGGTACTCGCCTTCGCAATTTAAAAAAAAAGACAAAAGGCCTTGGAGGAAAAGGCAAGCTAACAGGCAAATTAATTGACGAGTTGTCAATTTATTATGGTCTAGCAATACGTCGAAATCATCATTCCGTTGAAAAAATGCGTAATGAAATCTACGCGACGCTAGACCACAAATTGTCGACTGACGATGAACCGAAACACGACAAATGCCCGCGCGGAGAAAACTCATGGTGTTCATGGCAGAAGGCACAGGCTACTGGATCAGACCATACGCATAAACCACCTCTATCTCAAGAAGTTTACGAAGCGATTTCTCCAATTTATGGCGAATTAAGCGGTGACAAACTGCTTTGTCGTTGTATCGGCGGCTTTACGCAAAATAGCAACGAGAGCTTCAACGCCACAGTCTGGTCAATGGCTCCGAAATCGACTTCCAGCGGCAAACACGTTCTTGACACGGCAGTTTATATTAGTGTAGGCATATATAATGACGGCCTATCAGCTATCATGAGGCTTATGAAGAATTTGGATATGACAATTGGGCCGAACTGTTATAACTTCTGCGTGGAAACCGACATGCGCCGCATCGACTTTTCCGAGAGATCGCTTAGCGATGCCGCAAAAAAGGCCCGAACATCCATAAAAGAATCTAGGAAGGCAGAGGAGGAGGCGAACATCGACCTGGATGGCCAAATGTATGGTGCAGGCATTGCAGATTAGAGGTAAACGAAAATTTCAAGGATTAAAGTCTTCATAAAACTTTAAACGCGTTTTTCTCGCAACCACTTTTTTCAAATTGGGAGGACAGATTTCTCGGTGACTATTGCATGGATCGATTTGAAATTTTTACAGTAGCTTCACAACAATATTCTCTTTGGAAGTACGTAGCCGTTTTTTGATTGAATGTAAACTTTTTTTTTTATAAGCAATTCAATGCTCATTTTTAGGGCAAAAAACCGATTCATTTCTTAAAAAGTGCACTACTTCCACAAAAATCGATTAAAAGAAAAACCCCTACGTACTTCCAAAGCCAATTGTATATAGATTATAAATTTTTTTGGTTTTTTGTTCCAGGACTCATACATGGCGAGAAATTCGTCCTCCCATGGCGGTGTTTTTAAAAAAGCTGTTTTCGATGACGGGCTCTGTCGCCGCCATTTTGTATGAAAATGAAAGTAAAAAAATTGTTTTTCGTACTTCAATATGTGTTAAATAAACCCTCTGAAAAGAAATTCTATTCCGTTTGTCACACTCCCAAAATAAATTGTCAAATTTAGGTCTTTTTTTCTGCCTCTAGAGTGGTTTTACCCCTTAATCCACTCATTATTTTGGCACCGCTTCAATAAATTGTCCGCGCTCGAATCTCCAAGCCTAATCAACAGGCTTAATTGCTGCTTTTCATGCAAAGTATTTTTGCGTTTACATTCACTCGAGAGCAGCCTTTTCTCTTTTCCCGCGAATTCGGACGGTGCCAGGTTTATGCAGTTGCTCGATACGACGATAATGACTTTGTATAGTTAATTACACCAATGCTCTGTTATAAATCTGGTCAATTTGTTCAGAGCTTAACGGAGACTACGACGACAGATAAGGTTTCCTCTCTATTTCGAAACGAGGTCTGACAAAGAGACATAGTTAATAAAAATGATGAAGAAATAAACAATCCACGAGGTTTTAAATTATTCTTGAAACTTTAGACTTTAAAAACGCTTAAAATTTATTTCATGAAACAGTCGAAGTTGTATTTTTTGAATTGATGTACAGTAATGCTTGGATAACTGTAAGTCATTTTCGATTGGATAAGTGAAGGGTATCCCCACTACTGAGAGGGGACTTGACACACTAAAGAAGCTCTACGTAGAGCAGCGTAACCTAATCTGGGCTCGAATATCGGCGAGAAAATCTATAGTACTTACTATAATGCAAAAATGAAACTTTTTTATTTTTGTTTCTTTTTTAAATGAAACTTTTGCCAATGTACTTGTGAAAGTTTTTCGATCAAAATAAGACCAAACACGATATAGTTAGTTTTAACCTACTATTAACAGAATGATTGTCACACATTAAATATGCAAATATGAAAAACACTTCTGACACACTAAAAAAACTCAACGTAGAGCAGTGTAACCTAATTTGAGCTCGAATATCGGCATAGTACATACTATAATGCAAAAATGAAACTTTTTTATTTTTGTTTCTTTTTTAAATGAAACTTTTGCCAATGTACTTTTGAAAATTTCCCGATTAAAATAAGACCAAACACGATATAGTTAGTTTTAACCTACTATTAACAGAGTGATTGTCACTCGTTAAATACGTAAATATAAAAAACCTAACAAATAATCAGAAAACCCTGACAAATATATTAGTAAATGTTCCATTAACAAAAAATACAAAATAAATAAATTTCTCGTATTATTTTTATTTATCTTTTCTGCATTCGGTAAGATACAAAGCATTAGGCCTGTGCCTTTCTGAGAACCGACAATTAACCATGTTTTTATAAATACGAGACCTCTGTATTTTTCACATGAAATCCGTTTCTTTTCCGTTTGACGATTCGCGCGAATACACATGGATTTTTATTGCAAATGGGCTTAAAGAAAATTGATAGATGGGGACGCAGGTGCCTTGCTCTCTGCGTGAGCGCACACGCAACGTGTTTCACGGGAATCTCTCCGAACAGGAGTATAATTACGAGGAAACTATGTCTCGTGATAATGTCGACAAAGAGGATTCGAGCAACAAAGAGACGAATCAGGTCGCTCGGATTCGTTAACTCTTGGCGAAAATGATTTTAACTGAAAACGGGATGCACCTCAGATACGGTAATCGTCGACTAAACTCGAAACAAGTGACGTTTCCAGTTCGTTCGAACCGTTTTTTTGTTATTTTTGGAAAATATTTCGTATATAATTCGACGCGCGAACGGTGAAATTGAAAGGAAAAATACGACCGCCTCGAATCGAGGCGCAATGCGGAAAAACCAACATGACGGAACTAAAACCGTTGTTCGGGTAGTTTTATTTCCGAGGATCCGTACAAAATAATCGCATAAATATTGAGGAACCACGAACGCCCCGGTTTGGCACTCGTCTGCACGGATCCGTTATATCATAACAATGTTTTCAGTTATTAATTTCGTTTCTACGTTTTTACGATAGAAGTACGAAAGGTCGAAGGAAAACAATTTTTTAAATTATGAAAAATGTTTTTTTCCGTATAACATTTTCCTCCCTTAACGTTTCTCCGTGTAAAAAGGTCATCAAAAACAACGGAGATATTCAAGGTGCTCGAGAACTGGATTCTTCGTACCGAGAGTAATTTGAATAATCGATGTTATCACTTAGGGTAACGTCTTTCAATAAATTTGCATATGTTCCAGTCTTTTAATCCATTCTTTAATCCACCGTGAGTGGAGCGAAAGGAATAGTATTATAAAATGTTTGATTTCGATCCATTAACCCATTTATGCATTGTTCTATATGTGTACAGGGTGTTCAGACAACCCTGGGAAAAATTTTAATGGGAAATTCTAGAAGCCAAAATAAGACGAAAATCAAGAATATTAATTTCTTGATGGAGGCTTCGTTAAAAAGTTATTAACGCTTAAAGTTCCGCCCGTTCCGAATTTTTGTCTAGAAAGTGGGTAGGATTTTGGGGGTAGGTCTAATGACCAAAAATGATTGTAATTAACCCTCGCAACCGAAAATAATTTTTCTAGAACGATTTGGAATTTTTTAATTTTGTCGAAAAATTTCATACCTCGAATTTTTTTCTCGAAAATGGGTAGGATCTCGAGGGTAGGTCTAATGACCAAAAATGATTGTAATTAACCCTCGCAACCGAAAATAATTTTTCTAGAACGATTTGGAATTTTTTAATTTTGTCGAAAAATTTCATACCTCGAATTTTTTTCTCGAAAATGGGTAGGATCTCGAGGGTAGGTCTAATGACCAAAAATGATTGTAATTAACCCTCGCAAACGAAAATAATTTTTCTAGAACGATTTGGAATTTTTTAATTTTGTCGAAAAATTTCATACCTCGAATTTTTTTCTCGAAAATGGGTAGGATCTCGAGGGTAGGTCTAATGACCAAAAATGATTGTAATTAACCCTCGCAACCGAAAATAATTTTTCTAGAACGATTTGATATTTTTTTTTTGTCGTCGAAAAATTTAAGTCAATTTTTCTTAAAAATAAGTTTTTCATTTTAAGTCATTTTACTTGTCGCTCGACAAAAAAGTTGTTTAACACTTTTTTGTAGGCACCCAAGAGTTCTACTTCTGAAAAAAGTTTGACTGAAATATATTCATTGTTGTAGGAGTTATGGCTGTTTGAAAATTGGACCAGTTATATGGGTTTTTTCTTATTTTCCGGGATTAAAGATCAACTTTTCGGATGTTTTTAGAATTCCTACATATTCTTCATCAAAATACGCGTTGTTTGCTTTTTGAAAGATTAAAATCGTCCAATCCGTTCAGAAATTATGATGTTTTAAAGATTCACATGAAAATTCCTACAGATATTACTGGTCAGAAATTATATTTTCGGTAAGGAATTTTTTTCTCGAAACTGAGTAGGAATTCGGGGTACGTTTGTTCACCAAAAATGATTATAATTGAACCCCTCAACCGAAAATAATTTTTCCAGAACTATTTGAAATTTTTTAATTTCGTCGGAAAATTTCATAACCTTTTGAATTTTTCTCTCGAAAATGGGTAGGATATCAAGGGTATGTCTATTCACCAAAAATGATTATAATTGAACCCCTCAACCGAAAATAATTTTTCCAGAACTATTTGAAATTTTTTAATTTCGTCGAAAAATTTCATAACCTTTTGAATTTTTCTCTCGAAAGTGAGTAGGATTTCGGGGGTATGTCTATTCATAAAAAATAATTGTAATTGACCCCCGCAACCGAAAATAATTTTTCCGCGAATGATTTAAAATTTTTTAACTTAATTTTTTAATAACTTTTTAACGAAGCCTCCATCAACAAATTGATATTCTCTAGAATCTTCCATTAATATTTTTCCTATGGATGGTCAAACACCTTGTATTCTGTCTTAAAAAAATATTCATCCATGTTTCGTATATCTAAAAGAACAACTTGGTAGATATGCGTTTGTAAATTGCAGTCCTCGTTGATAAGGTAATAATCAGTAAGTACTATTGTTTATGGCCTCGGAGACGATCTTTTTAGGTTTATCGTTTGGAATTCGTCCTTTACACGAGATCTTAAATTTTCACTTTGGACGTAAATGGGTTAATTAACGTAAAAACTAAGAACAATCAAAACAAGGTCTGCAGCGATGTCGCGGTGCGAAATACGTAGTGCCAAAATGGTTGATTCACAGATTTCGTGGAGAGGATTGTGTAACTATTTAGCAATCGCTGCACAATATATCGTCCGTTGGATCGTTACCATCTTTCTATACCTTGAGCTTTTAGAAAGTGCAAAGTGCAGAAAGACCGTTTCTAAGAGATTCGTATTCACCGCAATCTGCAACACAACCACTGTTAAACGTATATTTGCAAAAGTGCAACTGGGTCACAGAAATTCTAGAACCAACGTGACGCTTTCGAAAATCGTATTAATTCCATTTTACGCATTTTACGTGACGAAAAAATTATCCAAGCGTAGTTTCGAGTAACAGAGTTTCTTTATTGATTTTGTGTACTCGAAGGCTGATCGTCTTCGGTCTGGACAAAACACTCGTTACTTTCGATCTGGTCGTTTTTTTCCTAAAGTGTGATGAAAACTGATGAACGTAAGCAATCGTGCAATTTCTTGCATCGAACGAATACTTTTACGGAAAATATTGCACGCAGCATATATTGTTAACGTTCGATTATTCGAGAAGATTTTATTTGAAAAAATCTTGAAAAGACGACTGGCCTTAAAAATAAGAAATGTATTATAAATGTAAAAATATTCTTCCTATTTTTTCCCATAATGTTTCTTCTATTTTTTATGGTTCGAATCTCGTTGACACTGTACAAATAATAATTTTCAAAACAAACTTCGAAATGTAAACTTAATCACTTTTATTAATTTAATACGCTACTATTAAGATGACAAAATTGAATTATATATTAACAAAACAAAATTCGATATTCCCAATAGTCTTTTATCTACACAAAAATTTTCAGACGATAGTCAAACTTGTAGATGACAATCCCTGTTGACCATTTCTCGATTAGAATAACTTGTCGTTATCACTTAAAACGCCAAGTGCTACGAAAGCTCTTGACACTTAATACTCTTATCAATAGAATAAACTGAAATGACTCATAAAAACGTGACG